AAGAAGAAGAAGAAGAAGAAGAAGAAGAAGAAGAAGAAGAAGAAGAAGAAGAAACAGTTCGTATATTAGCAGTGGGAGCAAAGACAGTTTTAAGAGTTGTGATATACCCTTGATGAGAAACAAAATAAAACGTATTTACGAACTCCGATGGCGACATCTATACTAGGCTATGTCCTATTGTTTGTTGGACATGCCTTTTTAAGATAAGATATGATAAGATAAGATAATATTTTATTATCCCACACTTTTTCTCGGCTGTACAGGACCGTAAAAAACACACTTTACAACGATCATTACCCCAGTCAACCTTAAAAGACTGAGCAACATTCTCGGCTTCCAGGGAAGCATAGAGTGCAAGCTGCGGATTGTATACATCCATTATGCTAATGTGATGCAATCGAGTAATCAGAGAAATGGTGAGCTCAAATGATGCCATGAATCACATCCAACACCAAATAATCAAATGGTTCGGACTTCTAATACGATTACCAACACACCGTCCAGCACAACGTGTCTACATAAAAAAAATCAATGGCAACAAGGCCAGACGGCGACTGCGAAAGACCTGGTTAGATGGAGCCAAGGAAACACTAGTAACTCATGGTATCCCCTGACCGAAGCTCTCCGGCTGGTGGCAGAGAGACGTCTCTTTCTTCCCGCAACACCCAAAAGGATATGAGCGGCGGATAAAAGTAAAGCAAAAGTAAAGATGCTTATCGTGCAGGTAAAAAATCTTTGGTTTAACCCATTATTTAAGGGTTTTTTTACGAGACGAGGCCTCCGAACTTGATTGCCCCTTTCGGAATTCGAAACACCTTGATCAAGGATGATAGCAACCGAATGATCGGTTTGCTCCTCCATAATTTGTATTTGCTTTTTACCAAAATATTGCCTTCTGACTCGTCGAATCTTGTCAAAAGGTTTTGAAGTTGTCTCGTTAAGTTACGCAAAGGGAGGTTGAAACGGAAGAAAAGAAAGATGGTTGGACTTGGGAGAGGAAGGAATGCGTTCCTAGTGCTATTGTTTTGACTTTTTTTTGTGGTTTAGGGGGATTGGGGGGGGGGGGAGGGAGGTGTGATTAATACAAATGATTTATCTATGTTCTTTAAACGAAAGAATAATACCACACTCTATTGTGTCAACCACCTCAATACTAGTAGTAGATGGGCGTGTCTAGTGCAAGTTTCCATAGACTGATATCTGAAGATAACATCTTTCAATAGATGTTATCCTTTCCCAAAGCTTGAAATTGTTCATTTATTGACCTACGAACTTGCCCGAGAAGCCTTTTCAGTGTGCGAACATTCAAATACACCAAACCATCTATTTAAAGAAGGTTGTTTCAACATGCCGCTTTGTTCTCCATTGTTGCGTTTAATGAAATTGGAGAGGACATTGAAGGTTTGCACCAAAAAAAAAAAAAAGAATTTTTTTCCACACGGTGTTACTAAGTGCCTTGCAGACGTGGAACGGAAGTAGGGAAACGGATTTAGTGAGACAATACCATCTG